CATCTTCAATTCTCTGCATTTTATTGTCAACTTCATCAATTTTATAATCATTGTCTTTCATCTTAACATTAACTTCTGATTTGAATTCTTCAACTTTAAAATCAACTTTCCCAATAAATTCTGCCAGGCCAGACGCCACTTCTGATATTTTTTTGGTCACCTTATTTTGATTCTGTTTCACCATGTCTTTAACTTCATTAATTTCCTGCATAAATTCCTGATGTGATTTTTGAAGTTTATCATCTATCTCCTGTTGAGATTTTTGAAATTTGTCATCCAGAGTTTTAGAAATAAATTCTTTTAAATCTCCCACATCAAATTCTTTTTTCTGAGTTTGTAGCTGTTGAGCAGGGGGAAGTTGCGTTTGATGTTTGTGTGTGGGGGATCCCCCCCCCTAATGCCTTCCCTTCCTGCTTCTTTGAAGCCATCCTGGCTCGTGATCTAGTTTTTCTAAAGAGGGAAGTTCCTTTTCCTTTCCCTCCTGCACAAAGACTTCTAAAAAAGTCCCCCAGATTTGATCAAATAAGGGTTAAAATAAAGCAAAGTCCAATATTGAAAAGGGAAAAAATTTCCCAGTTGTTTCTCTTATAACAAGCAAGGCAGCTTAGTAGCAACTTGGAAACTTTGTAACAAAACAAAGTAACTTCACCAATCCACACTCGCTGGCTCGTTAACTCTGAAGCTAGGCGCCATGTTTTTTCAAAGCACTTTCACTCACTCGCATTTTCTCAGATTGAAAAGTCAACAAAGTGCTAATACTTGCGTTTCCAAATTTCAGGATTCAGGTAGTTTCGCTGTTTATTAAAACTGGTTCTTTCGCTTTAAGTTTCCTGCAGCCGGCTTGTTCTGCAAAAGCAGAATCGTCCCACGTCGCCCGGAGTTCCAGCAGGTTGGGAGGGAGCCACGCCTGTTCTCTCCCCAGAAACTTCCCTGGGGGGTTACAGGGGCTCAACCTGTGCCCTGCGATCTCTCCTTCTTCAATCCTGTGGATTTAGAAGTTTTCGAACCGCTTCTTCGTTTCGAAGCGGCTCTACAGGCGGCGGGGCTGGCGGAGCTTCAAAGAGCGCCGCCGTCGCCGAAGACAAGGAAACCGGAAGTCCAGAGAGGGCTTCTTGAGGAGGGGCCTCACCACCGCCTCTTTCAAGGCAGCCGGCAGGACACCCTCCCTCAAAGAAACGTTAATAATCCTCTGGAGCCAGCCTCGTGTAACCTCCCGGGAAGCCAGCACCAACCAGGAGGGACACGGGTCCAATAAACATGTGGTCGCATTCAGCTGTCTCAGAATCCTGTCCACGTCCTCGGGAGCCACAGGATCAAACTCCTCCCAGATAACACTCTCAAGACCTGCCTCAATCACGCAAGACCTGCAAGGGGTCATCCCACGCTCCCAGATGGAGGAGGGAGCGGGTCACCCTAAACAGGGCGGCTGGGCGATTATCTGATGATGCAATAAGAGTGGAGAAATAGCTAGATTTTGCCGCTTTTATCGCCACTAGGTAGGTCTTAATATGAGACCTCACCAGTGTTCGGTCAGATTCGGAACGGATGGTCCTCCAACTGCTCTCCAGGCGTCTTTTCTGGCGCTTCATCTCCCTCAGCTCCTCGGAGAACCAAGGAGCTAGGTGAGTTCGGTGCCGGGTCAGAGGCCGCAAAGGCACGACGTGGTCCAGGTCCTCAGCCGAGTCATGAGCCAGAGTCTCAGGGATTGGCCCAAGCTCCATCTGGAACCTATCAGGATCCATCAGGTGCCTGGGGTGGAACCACCTAGTTGGTTCCACCTCCCTGCAGTGGGGTGTAGTGGTTAGAAAGTCTAGTCGAAGGAGTGAGTGGTCAGACTATGACAAGGGTTCAATGACTATATCCCCTATATCAAGGTCACTCAACCACTGACCAGAGATAAAAATTAAGTCCAGAGTGTGCCCACCTATGTGAGTGGGGCCATGAATTAACTGAGTCAAGTCCATGGCCGTCATGGAAGCCATGAACTCCCAGGCCACCTCAGACGTTTCACCGATGGATGGCAGGTTAAAATCCCCCATGACCAAAAGCCTGGGGGTATCAACCGCCACCCCAGCTATGACATTGAGCAGCTTGGGCAGGGCCGTTGCCACGTGGCAGGGAGCCATGTACGTGATCAACAAGCCCATCTGCACCCCACGACCCCACTTCACAAAAAGGGACTCACATCCGGCTATCTGAGGTACAGTACCTCCCTCGGAGGTAATAACCTCCCTCCCTCCCTCCCTCTCTCTGTCTTTTTATTTGTCTTAACCTGTTGAAGAACAAAAATGTTGTCTTCCCAGCATTAAGCCACATAGCAGTTCTGAAATACTATTCATTTCAGAACTGTTATTCACTTCTCAAACTTTCCATCAGAATTCCACCAGATATCTTCCAAACAAATTAAATCTCCTATGGGTTTTTAAAAACAGTTTTGTTTTTGGAGAATTTTTGTTGAGGACTGGTTTTATTTTATTTTGATTGTTTCACTGTTGTGGTTACTTTAATTTTTCAAGTCCAGCTCTGCTATCTATTATGTTATTAGGCCATTCATTTTTGATGCCAAAATAGACAACAGCAGACACATTATCATCAACACATTATATCTCAACCAGGATAAAAGCAGGCAGCCTCCCTCAGCCTTCAGACAAGGCACTAAGAAATTGCCATCCATACACTAGAGCAAAAATGATGATACAAATTCATATACAATACCATTAAAAGCAATGTAGGATAGGTAGAAGACAGATTATCCAAGGCTCTATTCAGATGCCAGGTATGAAGAATGGCAGATGAGTACTCAGAGTTCAGTTGTACTTAAAAAATCCATATTTGCTCAACAAGATGGGTGGCAGAATGAATGAATGAATGAATGAATGAATGAATGAATGAATGAATGAATCAATCAATCAATCAATCAATCAATCAATCAATCAATGAATTCTTGCCCCATTAACCAAAAACACAAGAAATGTGATCAGATGGAGATAAGGAAATTAAACTCATCGCCAGGAATAAAGAATAGCCACCTAAATCACTATCCATGCCCCAAGAATATTACTTGATTAAACCTGGTCAAAATACTGGGCTGCTACAATTGTGCAAAATCAATAGAAGGCTCATAAATACACTCACCCCAATGGAAGGCCCATTGAATTCAATGGAATGAAAGCCCAAAAAACATGTTCCTGTACAGATGCACACCTATCGTATATTTGAGTCAGGAATGTGGCTTTTGGACTAAAATTTAGATTTATTCCTACATTCCATTACAAATAAAAATAATTCATTCTGACCACTCTACAGGGATGTGTATAATTCTGTACTTTTCCCTTTAAACTACCAAATGTTAACTGATTAATTAAAAACTTTGAGAGAGGCTAGAACAGGGGTCAGCAACCTTAAACCCTCAAAGAGCCACAAAATTCCTGACCAGAAGCTCCACGTTCAATTCTGGAGCCGACTAGAAGTCCGGTTCCCACACTATAGAGTCTCCTCCTAGCGTGGCGTCCTTTTTCCTCTACTTGTCCTAACCAAAAGCCCTATCAATTGTGGAGCCAACCAGAAAACCCACCCCTTGCCATAGAGCCTCCCCCTGGGATGCCATGCTCCCCCCCATCACTTAACTGGAAGCTCCTCTCCAAATTGTGGCACCAACCAGTGACAGGGAGCCACAGCAGAGGGATGAAAGAGCCACATGTGGGTCCAGAGCCATGAGTTGCTGACCTCTGGGCTAGAAGGAAGAGGAGCTGTCATGTGTTAAATAGCTGGATGCCAGAAATGCACGATTCCTCTTTGATACAGAAATGCAGAGATTAGGAAACAGAGTGGAGTGGATATAAAGGTTACAGCAGAGACCCAAATGGATGATTCAGCTTCCACATCATTACTGCAACTGATTACTGTAGATCAAGTCTTAGGCATTAGAGGCACTAGAGCTCTTCAAACACCTTCATTGGATGACCATAACCTGTTCCTCTTCTATCCCCTCATTTCTCACACATGCTCCTGAATCTGCTAGGTATTCAAGGAACCCAGATTTGGCACACAAAGTAATGGCACACAAAGTAATTGAAAGAGTATTGCACCGGATGGGCTCTAGAGCTGGGCACAGAGCCACCTTTGGCCACTGCAGAATGTACATGAAAGGAAAAAAATCTATCAGTAGCTTTCAATTCTTCCTGTTGCAGCCATGGCCATGCCAAGGTCTGTGTGACTCCAAGCAGAGAGAAAGGAAGGAAAGAAGGAAGGAAGGAAGGAAGGAAGGAAGGAAGGAAGGAAGGAAGGAAGGGGAGAAAGGGAGAGAGAGAGGGAGAGAGGGAGAGAGAGAAGCAGGAGCTGCACTGACTCAGAGGACAGCTAAATATAGTTTGCTGTTTAACTGGAGCTGTCAGAGAGGAGGAGGAGATGAGATCACTGGTTTCTATATCTGGAAATCAAGTGAGAGGCAGCCAAGCAAAGCACACCGTGTCTCTGTGCCTCCCTCCACGGTCAGATACTTTGCCCAGGACATGGCCTACAAAATAAAAGGGGACGAGGAACCAAGGCACGATCACCATCTGGAGCCCTGGAGCCAACCTTCTGTGTGGTTCCTAGCTGGCCTAATCTGGGTCTTCAAAGGGTAGAGCAACAATGGGCCTCTCTAGCCTGCCAGGGTCCCTGAGTCACAGCTATCATCCCAATAGCCTCCTTTCCCCCTCTTCCCTGCCCACCCTTTTATGCTAATGGCAGCCCTGCAGCTGCAGTCTTCGCCCACCTACATCCATTAATATGGCAACGCCTGCCCAGCTCCTGAGGCAGCATGCAAACATTTGCTCAGAAGGTGCCGGAAGGCAGGGCGTAAGGCTATCCAAAGCAACCCACAAAGAGGATGATCAACTTGTGGCAGCCAAAACACATTGCCACAAGGAAAAGCACAGAGCAGAAGACTTATAAAGATGAGCAAATTCCAGAAAGACCTTGGCTGGTACAGAGTTTCTTCAGAACCAAGTATTACTTACAGATCAAAGACGAGGTAGTGGAAACCTTCCTCGGATATGCTGTCATGGAGGCGAACTGCAAAAGAAGCACAACAGATATGTTACATTGGGCAAAGAACTTCCTAAATTCTGCAGTATCTTTTATTATCCTTGCCCTCCTTCTGTCTATTTGATGCACTACATAATCTCACAGATCACAAGTCTAGGGAATAGCAACACCGCACCCATTGTAGCCAGTTCACAAAGTTCTAGGATTCAGCAACATAGCTCGAAGAAAGATCTGCAACAAAATAGGTGACCTGCAGCCTCCCATCACCTTCAGAGTCCAAGTATCTTGGCATTTTTGCTGTCCCACTGCTTTATCTATGTTGTATCTATTATTTATGATGATTGTATTTTATGATTATGATTATCACTTGTTGCTTGTATGCGCCCTGAGAGCTTATGCACCCCAGACAAATTCCTTGTGTGTGTCCAATCACACTTGGCCAATAAATAAAGAATTCTATTTCTATTATCATCTCCCCCACCTCCCCAATCTTGTTGAATTTGAATCTGTAATGCCCTCTGTGATATCTGCACTAGGCTGTTCCCTGCCAATAAACCTATTTGGTGGGAGAAAATTAGGCCATAATTAAGTCTGGATTTTCTGCCCTAGAATCCAGATGTCCATCTTGTCTAGAATCCTATTTTCAAGAGCAAAGAAAATCAAGCAAAACCTGACAATCACAGATCCTGACTACTATGGAGCCTTCATTTTTACTAACCTCCAGCATTGGCCCATTGGTTTTTATAAGAGTCTAATATCAACTATTTTTCAAATTGAACCTATGGGCTCAATACTCCATTATGGGATCTGGTTATAAATCCCAACAAAGCAGGATAAAAAGGTGCCTCCAGTGACGGTGAAAATAAAAATCAATTAATGGGGTCTAAAACCTAATCCACTAAACATACAGAAGTTTTTCAAACATGGTTGTAGTTCAAAATGTACCAAAGGTGCTTTTTCAAAAGGCAACTGGACTTTCTTTGTTTTTCTTTGAAGACCCTTCACTTCTCTTCAGTTAGAACTGAAAACGCTTCTTGGAGGGGAAGCAAAATGTTGTCAAGGAAAAATAAAGAAAGTCCAGTTGCTTTTTGAAAAAGCATCTTTGGGACATCTATGACCTGGATGACTGAGAATCTCCATAGACATGTAGTTCAAAATGTACCAAAGTACTTAGCAACATGCAATGAAGGGAGATGGGACTGTAATTTTAACAAATGCATACATATTTTAACAATATAGCAGTGAATTTAATTTGCTCCGGCTGTTTTTTTAATTAATGATTCTCGGCTACATGTTTATTTGAATATGCCTGAATTTTAATAGGACAGAAGATAAACGGATCTCTCATGGCATGCCAGCACTGTAATTCTGTTAAGGAGAAAGCAAAACAAATCCATAGAGATTCCACATTTTGGGGAGGGGGGAGAAGCTGGCAGGGCAGACAACATTCTTATAAATACCTCATATCCAAAAAAAGAACTTTCTTGCACCCCATAGAATTAAATCTGACTAAAAATAAAAAATAAAACTTGTAATGTGTCGAAGCCTGTTAAAAACAGAATAGAAGGAGGAACAAACTGGCAGATCACCTAGCAAATATAGTGTGAGTCTGGCCTGACAGCTTCATTCAGCAAACTTTCAAAATTCTGCTAAAACTTTACTTATTCATGGAACATATTCCCTACAGTATACATATTCCTGACCATTTTTTCCTGCCCTACAGGACTGTTACCCAGATATATTTGGCTGAACGATAGTGATATACCAAAGTCATCCAGATTACAAGTGTCTCAAAAGTGCTTTTTCAAGAGGCAACTAGACTATTTGCTTTTTCTTTGAAGACATTTCACTCCTCATCCAAGAAGCTTCTTCAGCTCTGACTGGATGGTGGGGAATGGAAGGATTTATACTCCTTGTAGACAGCTGGCCATTTGCATTCTTTTAGCAAGTCATTAAGGCCACCTGGAAGTATATCTGTGTCATCAGGGTCACCTGAATAGTGCAAATGGGTGTGGAGCCTTCTTGGAACTGTTGAAAGGACGGTGTTGTAGACTGGAGATAGATGATGTCATATCCCCCACTCTGTTGAAGTGAAATGTCTTCGAAGAAAAAGAAGAAAGTCCAGTTGGCTTTTGAAAAAGCACCTTTGGGACAACCATGACCTGGAGGACTGAGAATCTCCATAGACATCCAGTGTGATTCATAGTTTGGAGGGGGGGTGTTGTTTGAACCCAGCTCCCTGCAATCCTAGTGTGAGGTTCTAAGTTCTACACTGCACTGATTTACATAACTACATATGAAATCACAAGCTGAAAGAAGGGATTGATTCCTGATGCAAGAGGGACTTCTTCAATAAGTTGAAGAAACCTTTTTGTTACTACAGTTAGTCCTTGAATTACAACCACAAGTGAGCCCAAAATTTCTGTTACTAAGTGAGACATTTGTGAAGTAAATTTTGCACCCTTATATGAGCTTTCTTGCCACAGTTATTAAGTGAATCATGATAGTTTTCAATTTAGTAACACGGTTATAAAGTGAATCTGGGTTCCTCGTTGACTTTGCTTGGCAGAAGGTTGTAAAAGGAGATCCCATAACCCATAATCCCTCATAATAAATATGAGTCAGTTGCTAAGTGTCTGAATTTTGAACACGTGACCATGGGGATGCTGCAATGGTTGTAAATATGAAAAATAATGATAAGTCACTTTTTCAGTGTTGTTGTAACTTTGAAGAGTCACTAAACGAACTGCTGTAAGTCGAAGACTATCTGTAATTGAAGTACAATTCTCGAAGGAATACTTTCACATAATGATCATAAACAGAAATCTCTCAAAACATAGACCACATCATCCAAGATCTAGGATAAAAGAAGCTCCCCCTAATGATCTAACTGAGTTTCCTGCATGGTCCAGGGGATTCGAAACAATGGTTTTCATGGCATCTCCCCACCATTATCACTTTATTTTTTCCAAAAATCCCTTTTGGATCTTAATGTAACCAGTATCTTTTCCTCCCAACCCCAGTACTGTACTATGTTTCTTTAGAAAGAGAATTTGGGTGAATATAAAGTAGTGGTAAATTTATAGTATTAGGAGGAGAACCAAATTATATTCTAATCTCAACAGGTATTTCCAGGACTGCCTTACACCTGGTTGCAGAATTACACAGGATGCTATACAACTCCTAATAATCCAACACTTCCATGACATTAAAAGGGCTGAAACTAGGAGATAAATATTGTTCCATCACAGCACCAGCATTACAGAATATTTCGATATTTATGAATATTATTGAATATTTATGGAAAGAATTAAAAACTGAGTTATTCCAGAGAGCCTTTGACAATTGAATATCACCTTGCTATTATATGCTAGGTTACATTGGGGCCTATTGGGTGATTATTGCAGGATGGTTAGGGATATTATTAATTTAATTGTAGAGCGTTACATTATTTTTTTATTTATAATCTTTTTGTTTTTGCTGTGGACATTAAAATGTTGACTTTTTGCCAAAGTCCATTGGAGATGGGTGGCTAATAAATTCAAATTAATCATCATAATGAAAGAAGTAATACTTAAGGAGGGAGGGAGGGAGGGAGGAAGGATGGTGCCTTATTTGCAACACTCCAAGATCAGCTCTGGATTCAGAGGAATGAGCATTCGCAGGAAGACTATTCAGCAGGGTTGTCTACAGAGCATGGGGAAAAAAAGACAAGATGAGAGCTGGGTTGTGCGATTAAAGAGCCATCCATTTTGAGTGGATGTGTTTCTCTGTGTATGTTGCATGTGACACACATAAAAGCCAGAAAGAGCTTCAATCACACCATCCCAGACATCAACTTGCCTTCTTTTTAAATCATATTGTGCCAACATCTCTGTACTTTAGCATTGGTTATTTGGAGAAGAAACCAGGCTCAATACTTAGCTTTTTTCTAGTAGTATTGAAGCAAAACATAGCATCATGTAACACAGCAGAGAAATCTTGGAAGAGCACAAAGGTAAACACAAATCATCCTTCTTCCAAAAAGAAATTTGAGCTAAAAATCTTGCAAACCTCAATGTGGCTTCTATGAACCATAATCTGAAGCCATTCATGGTTCATATTTATTCTTACTTCAACCATGGCATTTTGTTTGAATTCAGATGGGGATGTATTTATGATAAAAAGGGTTAACTGTCCCCTTCTAGTTTCTGGACCTTACAATGGAACTATTTCTTAACTCTACTAACAGAATAAGAGACTTGGAAAGGACCTTGGAGGTCTTCTAATCTAACCCCCTGCTCTTACAGGAGACCCTATGCCATTTCAGATAAATGACTGTCCAATCTCTTCTTAAAAATCCCTAATGATGGAGCACCTAAACTTCTGGAGGCAAGCCATTCCACTGATTAATAGTTCTCACTGTCAGAAAATTTCTCCTTAATTCTAAATTGAATCTCTCGTTGATAAGTTTCTATCCTTTACTTCTTATCCTGCCTTCAGGTGCTTTGGAGAGTAGGTTGACCCCCTGTTCTTTGTGGCAGCCCCTTAGATATTGGAATACTGCTGTCATGTCTCCCCTAGTCCTTCTTTTCATCAAGCTAGACATACCCAGTTCCTGCAACCATTCTTCATACGTTTTAGCCTCCAGTCCCTTAATCATCTTTGTTGCTCTTCTCCGCACTCTTTCTAGAGTCTCAACAACCTTTTTATATCATGGTGACCAAAACTGGATGCAGTATTCCAAATGTGGTCTTGCCAAAGCATTATAAAAGTGCTATTAACACTTCGCATGATCTTGATTCTATCCCTTTATTAATGCAAACCTATTTGGGAATACAGTTAGTTTTTCTCCACCTTGCACATCTTAGTTCCAATTAGACCATGATGTATATACATTCGTTTTTTAAGTAAATAAATAGACAGTAATAATGGTAGCAAGCTGCTGTTGGCAATGTTTACATGTTACGGTCTTTGAGACAAACCAAGTCTCTTCTTACCTATAGTTAATGTTAAGCTTGCTTAGTGTTGTGTATACACTCAGCTCTAAAAGCACCACTTCAAGCTAAAGCACCCCAATGCTGCCAAAAACCAAGAGGAGAAGATTTAATTTGGCTGCCAAGAATTGGTGTAGAGAAATAAGAGCAGTGGAAAGGAACATGATTCTTTCCCTGAAGAACCAAGGGAAAATATGCCTTTCAGAATTTTGCTTCTGCTACGTGGCTTTGGGAGAGATATATTACTCCTTGCTAAAAGGAGGTTTTTCATCTGTTCTGACTAAATGGTGGAAGGATTTATATTCCTTGCAATCATCTGGTCATTAGCACTCTTTCTGAGAGCCATTGAGGCTACTTGGAGGTTTATCCCTCAGGGGCACAAATAAATTATTCAGGTGACCCTGAGGGCACAGATAAACCTCAGAGTGGCCTCAACGGCTCCCAGAAAGAGTGCTAATGACCAGATGACCTCAAGAAATATAAATCTTTCCATTCTCCACCATTCAGTGGTGGTTCGCAACGGGGCCACCCACGCGATTCATAGGGACTATGACTCCTATCCAGTCAACAGAGTGCCTGTTGCAGTTCAGGGGATAATTGCCACCTATCTAATTTCACTATTTCTAAATGAAATAAGATTAATGGGCCCCATATGTTTAATGCCTCCTCACCTTTCCTGATGATGAACACCTAACTTCCTTAAAACTCTTTGAGGAAATTCAGTTTCAGAGCCTAAAGGGCTTACATTACACACTGGGAGAGAGACCGGGCACTTCTGTCAGTCAAAGCAAATCCATGATTTGCTGAATAAACCAAAATTAGACATTATCCTAAGCCCTAAATGGCTGTTCACAGATATCATGTTCGCATATTGCAGGCAGTCAAAACCAAGCAAACTACCCGACAGGTTCATGCAACCCAACCCAATCAATTTTCTGGACCCATGAATCTTTTGCTCCTGTACTGGTCTTCTATATCTTTCTAAGATCACTGAAGCTAAAGTGCATCTATTTCAATTCCATTATACAAGAACGTTTCTTTTTTCTTTTGCACTTGTGGCTGTCTCTAAATCTACCCAGAAGATACCTGTGACGACACAGTTTCCATAGAAACTAATGCATTGGGAAGAGGGGGGTTGAGAATAGAAGATTTTTCAAAAAGAGCCAAAAAGCCCCACAAGGATTAAAACAGAATAACTAGCATAAACACACTGAGTCCATTACAGCAAGCAGGGAGTTCAGTTTTAATTGCCTATTTGGTTGAGATGGAGGGAGACCTGGTCAAGATGATGCTTCCTGGAAGCTCGTCTTCTACCAACCTTGTTGTCATTAGCAACTGCAATGGATTTGCAAAAGTCTTTAAAGGTGGCTCCATGCAGCACTGGGAACAAAGGGGGCAGGTTGACCTGTTGTTCAAGCAAAAAATCCATGTCCACCTTTCATAATAACAATTGTGGAACTCGCTCTTTGAATTTATAGCCTACTTTTCTTCAAAATAAAGCAGAAGAAGAGACACCATTGGCATTTATTTGATTTACAGGATATTTTTCAAACAACCTTGGGAGATAAAATGGTGGGACACTATTAGGATTTCACAATAACTATTCAATGCCATAAGAGTAAGTCTAAATTTCAATTTCATGAAATTTGGTAGGAATGGTTTCCTGAAAAGACTTAAAATCGGGCAAAGTGATATAAAGGCAGAACTGTTGTCCCAAATGGAGAGGAGTGAAGTGGCAAGCCAAACTTTCATGCATTTTGATCATGGACTGAAATCCAGGGAGATCTCGAGAATAAATAATGCACAGATTTGGGTGACAGTTGTAGTTTGATCTGAAGACTACATTTTAAACTCATCCTAACTTCATAATTACTCTTAAGTATAAATCACTCTGCCAAATCTTCTTTGTATAATAAACTAAAATCAAGCCATCTTTAAGTGTGTGTAGAAAAAAACATTATTACATCAGGTTCTCTCTCTCTCTCTCTCCCCCTCTCTCCCTCTCTCCCTCCCTCACACCACACACACCACACACATACACAACCCCCCCCCCCCCCAAAGTTCAGCAAAGAACAACCTCATCCCACTTTTCCTTTGGGAAGCTTTCAGCCCCCTCCCAATTGAGTCCTTGCCAGGGGTATGAACTTCAGTTACTCCTACACATTTCTGGATTTAAAGTCTGCACCCTGATTTTAAGTCAGAAACAAATCTGGAGCCAACAGAAGTGAAAAAGGGCAAAATATGGTCCATCTTACCAGGATTTAAAAAAGAAACCAACTGGGTCAGCTGTCCAAGGGTTCCATAAAGCCAACCAATATCAGTGAAAAATTATCTAATAAAGGCACCGTAGTATCACACTAGAATTTATATTTATGTAGAAAATTCACAAATATAAGAAAAAATCACCATCAATCAGGTTTTTTTAAAAAAAAGTGTGGCACTTTTCTCTTCTTTCTAGTACTTAAAGGGATGGCAGAGAGGAAATCTCCTGCAAAGTTTTTACTGGTTTTACTGGGAAGAGTACTCAGAATATTTTTAATATTATTCAATCCAAATTGTCTAATTGTTTGGCAACTTTAAGAGGCATGGACTTCCCAGAATTCTGGGAGTTGAAATCCACACATCTTAAAGTTTCCCAAGTTAAGAAATATAGACAATCTTGACGTTTGCCATGTACACCATCCCATCCCATCCCCCTCTTTTCCATTTCCATCTTAACCAAGCAATATTTACCAATGTTGGAATGCTTCAGGAGACGGCAGATGCGAGCTTCTCGCTCCAACTTCTGGTGATCTGGAAAGAGAAGAAGAATATACAGCCTTTAGCATGCCATGGATGTCAGATCCCATAACATTCGTTTTTTTAACAGAACATCAAGGAGAGAAACAGCATTTTTCTGAAGGCAATAAGTTAGTTCAGAACTCCATTGCTTCCAATAATAAGATAGAAAATTTCCTGTTGCGGGCTATTGGCTATAACAAAAAATAGCACCAAACAGAGTAGCCCAATGCACTGCTCCCATCAGCTAGTTTTCTATTTGAATTTTAAGCATGTGATTTCAACTACGTTCTTGCATATATAAACAAAATCTACTGCATCATTTCTGAGTCAAATTTTAAACTGATTTTAAATTGGAATTGTTTTAATCACGGCCAAAAGATTTAATTATTTTAATCAGTTTTTAGATTTTGTATGTTTTGTATGTATGTCTTGTTTTTATTTTCGGCTGTTCACCGCCCTGAGTCCTATATTGGAGAAGGGCGGTATAGAAATTTAAACAAATAAATAAATAAATACATGCATTGACAAACCTCACTATTGGGGAAGCTGAGAGGATTTAACTAAAGCAGTTAAGATGTTGAATGTACAAACTTTATAAATTTGTTAACTGAAGCAAAATATGTATGAGGGTGAAGGTTCATTCTTATAAACAGAAGAACACCAACATCGACATCCCCTAAACTCCACTGAAGATGTTTCCTAACCTGGTAACAAAACATTCGAAGACCAACCCACAAGCTCAGAGAATGAACCTTCACCTTCATCCTATATCCGAGCTAGATATTCACCACTATTGCAAAATATATATAGATTAATTTTAGAGTAATAAAATGCAATGCAAGTTATGTAAGGATACTAAGTATAAACTGTAAAAAAAAAAAAAAAAACAGAGGCTGAGCTGGAATCAGTGAGATTCAGAAATCAGCTGAATAAATGACCCTTCATTTGGTACTAAATCGAAATCAATATTAGTATTAGCCTGTTATCTTAAAGAAGACATTTCATAAATGTGAAACGCTGACATCTCTAGAATATCTCGCTTTCCATTGTATGATAGCAAAAGAGGTAAACCCAACTCTATTCCAAAATGATGGTGATTCAAATAAGGGTTAGAAGTAGTCCTCGACTTACAACAGTTCACTCAATTGTGACCATTTTTCGCACTTTCGGCCATTGCAGCATCCCCAGGATTATGTGATCAAAATCCAGAGGCTTGTCAACTGACTCAGACTTATGGCCATTGCAGCATCCTGGGGTCACATGATCACCTTTTGTGACCTTCTGATAAGTAAAGTCAATGGGGAAGCCAGATTCATTAACACCCAGGTTACTAACTGAACTGCAGTGGTTCGCTTAACAACTGTGGCTAGAAAGTTCATAAAATGGGGCAAAACTTACTTAACAAATGCCTCACTTATCAACATAAATTTTTGGTTCAATTGTGATCATATGTTGAGGACTACCTGCACTTAGGAATCAAATTTCAGGAACAGTGAGATGTTCAGCCATTTTACTATTTATTACAGTTTCAATCCACTCAATAATCAAAGTTTGGTCTATTTTCACCGAAAGGAAGGTCCAGCAAATGTTACAAAAACCCTGTGGGTTTTTTCTGAACACACTCAAATTGACCTGCTCTAAATATATACGTATCTTGTTATTTTACCAAATCAGTTACTCTTGAAAGGGATATAATAAGTAGTTCGATCAAAACCAATAATATGTAGGATTAAAGTGTTTTAATGGTTTCTGTTATATTCCTCCTCAGATACTTCATCTTTTCAATGAAAAGTGGCTCTCTTTTGATTTGCACATAGAGGAAATTAAGAATAGGATTAAGAAAGCAAAGAGAGAGAAGTGATTCTCTCACAAAACTGGGGAAATTCAGTAGAATTTAGTAGAAACAAATGGAAGTACTTGGTGCAAGACATAATTAACATTTTTCTATTGCAAGAGATTGTAACATCCACTGTTCTTGAGAAAGAGGCAAGGATCTATTGCTCCCATCCTCAGAAGCCTGACTCCTGTGTCTCTGCAAACTGAATGAAAATTATTATAACTTGTAATTATCACTTCAGTAGAGGCCTATAAAATGAGGTCAGCTTTTAAAAAAAATCTTCAGCACTCAAATGCATTAAAAAACTGCGCTCAATTGCCATAATGGAGGGAAAGACAGAGTTTATTGCAGTCAGAAACCAGAGTGCAAAATAAAATATGTTAACAATAAAATAAGAATAAAAATGTTACAGTTGGTGGCAGGTTGGATGGAAATGCATACTGGCATAGCTGTTTGCTGCCTCCAATTTTATAGTATGGCAATTTCATGTATGTATGTAAAGTAAGTATGTCTGTAAATGTGTAGGCATTTTTATTCAGGGTTCAACATGTTTCACTATAGGATAGTAAGAGAATGCCAATTTTATAATACGACAATTTTGTATCTATAGGCAGTCCTTATTTAGCAACCACTACTAAGATCAGTAATTTGGTCCTTAAGCAAAGCAGCCACTAAGTAATACTGCAACTGTGCTTGTGATCTCACTTCAGCTTTGCTTTGCTTTACAAACCTATGAAAATTATAAATGCAAAGTTTGGTAGTTAAGTTACTTTTTCATCACTATTGTAACTGTGAATGGCCACTAAACAAGACACTTGCTAAATGAAAACTGTCTCTCCTCCTCCCTCTATCTATCTATATATCTATCCATCTATCTACACTTTTATCTAAGTTAAATAAGTTTCACCATGCAATAATAAAAAGAATTATACTGCTTCCTCAGTTTTTCTTTCTCAGAAGTTGCATCTGCTCAGAAGGCATTCAGTACTTAATTCTCAAGGTATCTACCTTTGGCCTTGGAAGATTTAATTTCTGATATACTGGAAAGTGCATTTTCTAGCTATATCATCTAGACATTATGAGTGAATGAAGCACTGAAGGCAATTATTATAAATCAAGCGAAGCGTGATTAAAGAGGCATTGATCCCACCCAACTGAAAAGTGATTGTAAGAAATATTTATATGGTAAAATATGACAGAGGAAGAATAAAAATGGATGTTTGCCTTTATGTAGGTGATCTAAAACCTCCAAACTACAGCTGATTATTTCACACATTCAAAAAAATTGTCTTGACTTCTTACCTCTGTATTGCTCCTTTTTCTGTATATGTAAGGATCGCCTCTCCTTCTAACTTAAGAAAGTACGAACTCTTGAAACGTGGTTGTTCAAAAGGATTTTTTTATTAAGCAGAAGTGAAAGCCATCCAGCTAAAGCACAATCTGAATGCCCTTAGGCCAGCAGTTCTCAACCTGGGGGTCGCAACCCCTTTGGGGGTCGAACGGCCATTTCACAGGGGTCGCCAAAGCCCTCTCTCGCCCCTCCCCCCACGCCTTCACTCACCCTCACTCTCTGCTCTGTTGGATCGCCGGCTGTTCGCTTACCCCGCCCACCCCCAATCTATTGCTGCCTCCTGAGTCCCAGCTGATGGCTAGAGGAAAAAAAACTGTTTAAATTCTTGTTGCGGGGCTTCAAAGGGCTGCCCTATAGCCAGTGGTGGGATTCTGCCAGAACCGTTTGTTAAATTGCTGGCTTGCCCCGCCCCTCCGCACCACTATTTATTGCCAATAAATAGTGGTGGGCGAGGGGCGGGGCGAGCCAGCAATTTAACAAATGGTTCAGTATTTTTTTGTAATTTTATTGGCCCGCGGAGCTTCAGCATAGGCTAATCAGCCCTTGATTAGATGGGCTCCCGACTCAAAGAGTCCTGGAGCAGATTTTTTTTCCCTAGCTATGCTGAAAAACGAAACTGAAACTGCTTTGCTGTTGCTGCAAGGTTGGAAAATTAGGCAGGCAGATTTCTTTTCTTTTTCCTCACCAAAAAAGGTAGGTGCAAACAATGGGAAATTTAGGGCAAAAGAGGAGAGTTCAAGATTTTAAAACACAAAAGAAAAAAAGCTCTATTTAACTAGGGAATTGTAATAATTGAGATAGTATTAATTGTATATTTCTGAAAGCAGAAATGGTTAAGTTGTGGTTTGGAGGAATATATAGGGGAAATTATTTGGTTTATTATTATTGGTAAATATAATTAATTGATTTGTAAGAAATTGGATTGCATGGAAATAATTGGAATATTCATGTTCATATTGATTAATATACAAAAAAGGTAGTTATATAACTAATTGATTTATATTAAAATGTTGAATTTATATTAAACAACTGTAATATTACATAATTAACCAATGTGAGGATGGATATAAAAATAGATGACAATGGGAAGGGGTATAATATAGAATAGAAGGGAAAAATTGAATTTGATTAACATTAGAGATGAGGATGAAGGGTAATATTGGTTTTTTACAAAAATAGATGAGGAATAAATATGGCAAAAAGGAAATATAGAAATTGTAAATTTAATTGAAATGACTAAACACTGTTTAAATTTGTGAACCGGCCAAATACTCTGTTCAAAGAAAATACATTGTATGTTTGTATGTGTGTTTCTAATTATTGTTATTTATTCATATTTGTTCTCTTTTATTCTTTAAAGTTTAACAATTCATTCTTTATCTTAATATCTTTATATTTGTTTGGGGTTGGCTTTCTTCCCTTTCATCTTTTTTATTGTACAGCAATCTTTCTCCTCAAACCTACCACCTCTCTCTTTTCTTTCCTTCTTACTTTCTCTTCCTCCCCCTCTTCTTCTCCTCCCTGCTTCCTCTTCCTTTCTCCTTCTCCTCCTCTCTTCCTCCCTCTCTTACCCTCCCTCCTACTCTAATTTCCCTTCCCTTCCTTCATCCCTCTCTATTGCTGTATCCTTTTATGCATATGGACTACTCAGAGGGCTGAAAAAGTTATTTCTGACTGGTCCTCGCACTTTTGACCAGTCCTCGAATTTACGACTGTCCTCACATTTTACGTTTTTGCCCTAGCTTGTCACCATGGTGAAGAGAAGCAGTTGTGAAATGAGTGACACGGTTGTTAAGAATGCTGCATGGGCATAAATGTGAAGAT